TGTTCTCTTGATAAACTGTATACATTGTGTCCTCTCTATGATTTTCTGTCTTTGTTTTCACCAGGCTGGACATTCAGCAGGTTGAATCACTTTATCACCTCTGTACAATAAGCCATCTGCCTTACGGGGTGATGTGCTGCCTCTGCAGCTGTCACAGTCATGGGAGGGGGCCACAGCCTGGCATGAATGATCAGATCCTCAAACTGATGGCAGAAACATTTAATCAGGTCTCAAATGTGTTCTTAGGCTAAAAATGCATTCTCAGATAGAGCAGTCTATGAAATCGGGATACAAGACTCAACATAGATATTTGATGATGTAGGAGATGTTGTGAAGGCAGTGTGAGGTGATGTTCTCATCTGTGATGATGTGTTAGTACAGCACTGCAGAACCTCTTCAATCACATGAGTCATTCACTTCCCTGCCCTTCCTGTGTGTGGAGACTGCACTGGCGTTTGCATGTGCATTTACAATAATGCATGCTGGGTACACAGCAACTGCTTCTCAACTCATGGTTGCACATCCTATATATATATATATATATATATATATATATATATATATATATATATATATATATCCATTTTAATTTAATTTATTCAATTAATTTTATGTAGTTAATCCAGTTGAATATATACATGTGTTCATATATATACCTATAAATATATATAGGCTATATTCCCTGCTGAACAGCCTGGTGATTGAGAGAATCCTAGCCTGTTGCAGGAGATGTTTTAAAGAATGGGAAAAAATTAGCCTGTCAACCACTCATTTGGCTAAAAAAGTTGAGTTTTTTCACCAGGGTTCAGGGGAGTTCTGGTAAAACGTTCGCTGAAAATTTAAGAGCAATTACAGTGTCAGACTGTTGGAGAAATGGCTTTTACTGACGGAGGGCTCTGTGGCAGATGCATTGTGGGAGAATTGATTCTTTCTGAGGGATAAGTGAATTGTCAGCGTGTGTCTCTTATGACATCTAGCTGGGTGTCGTCTGCTTTGTAACAGAAGATTTGAATCAGCCCACTGTACTCATCGAAGCACGCAGCAGTGGCTAGATTAGTGGAGGGGAGGAATAAGCCTCCACTTCACAGGTCAAGAGCTGGGGCTCTCAAAGGTTACAGATCAGCAGAAAGGGTTTCAAGATTTGTGAAGTAGACCAACAAAGAGGCAGATATATTATTCCTTTTAGTATTTACTCCATTAAAAAGAAAAAAGGGGAAGGGTGTGTAAAACTGGATTCCTGACCAGTATGGAATTCTGCATTCAAGTGGTGAGGAAGCCACTTAGAGAGAAAGATCAATAGAATACCTGCGGGCTCCATTAGCTTGATTAGAAAGAGGGGGGTGGAGGAAAACAAGCTCTCCTAAAGGAGACACAACTTTATTCCAGGGATTATGCTGGATAAGAGCAGCTTTGTTTTCTGGATGGCAGGAAAAAAAGGAGCGTCGGCGGAGACGGAACTTGGGCAGAGACTGAAGTGGAGGGGTTGACAGGTAATCCGGCTGACGCTTGGAAAGCAGCTCATTGACCAAAAGGTGTCTCTAATTAGGCTATCAGTAGCGTGGCACTAGGTGCCAGCACTAATCACATAGCACTCGAGACCATGGCTCTTGATTTGACAGCAGGACACAGCTCACATTAAGGGGGAAACTCATATGTTGTGCCATAGTTTCTAAATGTTTAAATTATTTGAAATGCTACCTTATAGAAAAGGGTTTTTTGTGTGGCTGAGTAAACTGGATTTTCATATATAGTGGCTTCGTAGTATACTTGATGTAAACTTCATAAGCAAAGATGACTAATGTATGAGTCTTTTCTAGTTGTGTGTGTGTGAGAGTGTGTGCGGGTGCACTGGCTTGTGCACAGGCATGTGTCTGTGCTTGATAAAAGTGTGAAAAAAGTTCAGTTTGGAAGTTGCTGTTGCATATGAGCATTGATCTTTGAAGAACTTTTTTACCTTGAACTGGATTTCACAGGTTCCACACAGGCTTGCAGAACCTGCAAAATGTCCTCTTCTTTTTTGAATACATATTGAAGTGTTTAATGACAGGGAAAATGCTCACTTTTACCTTCACTAATTCAACACAATCGCCCTGTATGGATCAAGTGAGACTTGCAACTTTTAGCGTCAGCCTAAACTGTATGCTGTACCATGCAATACTATATTAGTGGGAGCCTGTGTAGGTCATATATGTGAGTGAGTGAGCGAGAGTTCACTGGTTTACAGTGCATGTTTATAAGTGTAAGTTGTGTTTGTGAGTGAGAGTTAACTGCTTTACAGTGAACGTTTGCCAGTGTAGGCCATGTTTGTGAGTGAGTGAGTGAGAGTTCACTGCTTTACAGTGCATGTTTGCCAGTGTAGCTTTGTGTGTATGTGACAATTCACTGCTGTACTGGTCCCTCAGTGGAGGAATGAACTCCCCACAGGGGTCAGGACAGCAGAATCACTGGCCATCTTCCAATGCAGAATAAAGACCTACCTCTTCAGACTGAATCTCGGTTCCACTTCAATCCCCATCCCCTAACACCTGCTACTTGTATTACTTGCTGTTTATTTTATGTGTAGTATCATGATGTGTTTTGGATTCTGTGATCTAGTGATTGATATATGGTAGTACACTTGGTTTCTGTTGTCTACTCAGGTTTCACAAGTTAACTTGTGGTAGGGCTTGAATGGTGTTATGCTCACACTCACTGGTGTGGGAGTGTTGTCAGCCTGGTCTGACACTGTTGCTTGAATAGATACAATTATGTTCTTTTGTGCTGTAAGTTGCTCTGGATAAGAGCATCTGCTAAATGAATGTAGTGTAATGTAATGTATGCTCCATGTTTGTGTGTGGGTGCTGTTCTAGCTGCTGTCCCCTCTGCCTCCAGTCACCTGTTGAACATTCACCACTCTCTGAGTCTCCACTCTATCGCCTCTGACTCCTTGCTGAATTTTGCTCCATTCCTCACATTTGAGCAAATCATAAATTATATAAGCGGGTCAGTGGTATTGCTGTATTATGGCTCACGATGACCTGAGGAAAGTGGTGATCCTGTCATTTTCTGTGACTGACGTGTTAAGGCTGTTTGTTCCCACCTGCAGCTGGAGCAGAGATGATGGGCAGTAGGTCTGAAACATCACCAGACCAGTTAAATGGAGCTGGTTTTCAAGTTTCAAAAACAGAGAAATCTTACTACATAAACCTCAGTGGATCCACACACACAAGAATTTCATTGCATCATTGTGTATGTGTGTTTTAAATCAGTTAACACAAAATGTGCTCACCCTGTTGCCATAACGTTATCAGAATGTTCTGTGATAGCCTTGTGGTTTATTAGCATACAACTTTTATTCCCAGCACTTAGAGGAAGAAGAGGATGAACATGAAATGCATTTAAATTTACGTACAGTAACTAACAGCATATTGATAATTCAGGCTCTGCAAAACCATGTCAGACAGGATGCATTGAAGCTAGTGCTGGTCTCCCTTGACACAGAGCTTTGAATTGGTTTAAATGATCTGGTCCGAAAGGGAGGGAAACTTCATCTTCATTATTAGTTCTGAGAATGATCAGTCATTTTAATTAAGCCGCAACGGCCACTCTTTGTGACACGCCCCACGGGGAAAAAGAAATAACTGGCTCACAGGCACAGTTCAATAAATTACCGGCCAAAGAAAGTTGCCTGAAATTAAAATGAAAATATATTGATTGCTTTGTTTGCGGAGATATTGCACGTCCAATAAATTTCACTTTCTGATAGCAGCACGTCCATATTCTTTAACGTGCTACACAAAGCTAACAAGATTAACTAAACTTAATTAAAAATACAATAACTCTGGTGGCAAACGTGTCTGTCGTGCTGAAGAACTCGGATTAGGAAGGGAGTGTGGATTGATTTTTGAGCATACAGACCCCATAGCCTTGACCGTGGCAACTCACTGTACACTTTTCATGAGCAAACACTGGAATGTTGCTTCTGAAGGTAGGGAAACTCCCAACAGGGCCAGCAGCTAACAGGTGTGACAGTGGCTGTTTTCAGTAGAGCCCGGGATGCATTCAACTTCTCTGAATCACATTAGTCTTGTCCAGCACAGGACATAAGTTACCATGGAGGGTGCTTAGCAGCTCACCTAGACATGATGGAGGCAGCTGTGAGGTGATCTACCACAGTGGGCTGTTAACAGAAACAGCCATGGGCAGGGTCACTGTAGAAAGTGCTCCTTGTTAAAGAGCAAAATTCGCAGCACCGTGTTTGGCCAAGAAGGCAGTTCGAGGTCGCTGTTCTGTTACCTGATTCACATCCTCTTAGTGCTTTCTTATCTTAAAAACAGTCAACAACCAGGCTTTAGCTGTTTTCAGGGAAAATAAAATCAAACACAAAACTAAATGAAAGCGTAAATTTGTCTCATTTTCAGATGACTTCCAGGTGGGAAAAGCACAAGGGAATCAGAACCTGCAAAGAGAGGAATGAGGGGTAGAAAATTGCTGCGGGGCACAAAAGAAAGGGGGAAAGAAGTGCTCTTGGGAAGAGAGACCTTGTGTTGTGAAAACCTTGCGCAAAAAGAGAAACGATTAGAGGAACAACTGATAACCACATATTAATTCACTTAAAAGGGTCAGCAGGTCTGAGGGGAGGCAGTACCAGATGGGGTGCAGATGTAAGACCTGGCCGGGGCTCCCCATTCAGGACCACCCTGGCCTGAGGGATGAAAGGCAGCAATCAACACACACAATGCCTGCCAGTGCTCATAAAAAGGCCCTGAGCAGGAGCAACAACAAAGAGTTATTAATCAATAGTGCTTCTTAACATCAGGTCTCCTTAGATTTCTCAAAGTCAGTTCTGCATTAAATACTACATTACATTACATTACATTACATTGCATTGCATTATTTCCATTTAGCAGACTCTCTTATCCATTGCAACTTACCTAACTTACAATTCTCACATTTTCCATTTATACAGCTGGTTATTTACTGGAGTAATTGTGGGTTAAGTACCTTGCCCACGGGTACAGCAGCAGTGCCCCAGTGAAGAATTGAACCAGCAACCTCTCGGTTACAAGCCCTGCTCCTTAACCACTACGCCACACTGCTGCAAAATATTCTGGTATTTTGCTGTGATACTGTGATACTTGTTGCAGATTAGCTGAGAGAGAGATCTGCTGAGTGAAGAGTGGCATTACTCTTCATATGTTGTATATCTTGTAATATTACTTTACATGTGTTTTTTGTAAATATTTCATTACACTTCTCCAGGAAAAGGTCTGCGCAAGCGTGAAACTAAAACCTGAGCCTGATCACACCCAATCTGCACATTTGTATGCCCAAACCGAGCTCAACCCAACCCGTACACTTTAAAACCCAAACAAAACCCAGCCCAAAAACAGTAGTGTTTAGAACTGACCTGATGGCGGGTGGGGGGGCTTGCATGAAAAGTAATTATCAAACCTACTGCTGTTAATAAAATCAAATCAAAATCACTTTTAGAAGCTTACATATATCAAAATCTCCCTAAATCCTCTCCTCTCTGATAAATGAAAATGAATAAATGCCATTGTATGCAACGATCAGCAGCATAGCAAATGACCACAATAGAGTCTGCCTTTGTTGGGAGAACAATGCATTATATGGTGAATAAAATCTGTATAAGCACAAAAATGGAACAATTCAGCTCAACAGTTCAACAAAACGAGTAGTCCGTTTCAGGAAAATGGAGGCCACTTAGGGGAAAATAAGTTCTTCCTGTCGAAATAAATGAATAAATACATTAATTCCATAATTCAGTCTTGATATGTTTGGCAGCCTTAAAAAGTTGCTTCCCTTGTATATGTCGGTGTATATGTCATTTATTCAAAATGACATTTAAGCCCAGATTTTAGACATCGATACATTCAAAACTTGACATCTAGACACACTGAGCCCGAACTGACCTGAACCTAAATGCTGTAATGCAGTTTTAGACCCAAACCTACTGTTTTGTCAGGATTTGTTGGGTTTGGGTTGGATTGTAGGACTTTATTTCCAGCAGATGTATTTCCAGAATAATTTTGAAAAATATGTTTTAGCAAACATATCTACATACTTTCAGTCATCCACTAGTGTCCTCTTTAATTACTCATCCTACATTCTGCAAAACCAGACAATGGCAATATACAGCATTACAATATAATAATTGTAAAGTTAACACAAGAATTTCCATAGTACTCTTAAAGCTGTATTCTACTTTGGTTGCTGGTAGTGTTACCAAGCCATGGGAGAGTGGGGTTTTGAGTGGCTCAGTTAGCAAGACATCCACTTAGACTGCAGACGAAGCCCCCTGACCGTGCCATTCCCTAATAGTAACCAGGATTCCACAGTAGAGGAACAAATTGGTGTCACACTGGGGTTAAAGATGGGAAGGCCAGGCAGGGATGCCTTGTCCCACCATTCTCAGATATGCTGTGATTGGTCAGTTGCTTGGATGATATTGGATGATGCTGGAAGGCAGTGCCTTTCCTCCAATGGGCCTGCACTCCACTGCAGTGCACTGTATGACTTGTCATTTGAAAAGTAGCTTTTAAGTGTGTGCGAGTGTATTGGAGGATTGCTTTGCCTCAGTGCTCCTGGGCAGGGCAGAGGTTGTCACAGTGAAGTGTGATGTACAGTCAGTTATTCCAAAACAGGGCTGCATAAGAGGGGGAAAGCATATGAAAAGCTTATTTAAGTGGTTTTTACAGTAGTGTAATATTGTCTTATGCAAGGAATTACAGTGTTGATTATTAATAAAACAACAGCAATAATAGATATTTTCTTACTGATGGAGCACACAATTCTGTATGAACTGAACAGCTAAGCACTGTAGAGATTACTCCTAGCTTAACCTGAACACAAGCATTACGCTGTCTCTTGGTGAGACACCTGTCACTGAAGTCCTTTCAGTCCCAGCTTGGTTTTTCTGAGGGTGAGTCTACATGTATTTTCACAAGTCAATAGTCTTTTATTCATCCTGAAGCCTTTTCAGATTGAAAAAAGAAAGCTTGTTTTAAGGTATTAGGTGTGACTAACAATTTCAGTCATTTATCAGAGCTTGGAATTTCTATTTATGTTCACCCCTCAAAATAAAACAGCACCCATGTAACTTTAATACAAAAAGAGAGAAAAAACTAGACTGAGGCAGTAATATGTAGTTACAAGCAATAAATCGCCTAAATAGGAGGAGCAACAAAAGGCATTATTGTAAAACAAGATTCTTTTTTTTTAGCCCTCCAGGTAAGCTGATCTTTTCAGAAGTGATGCCCATTGAAGTAAAATGAAAACCTACTTAATCCATTCTCCCCACAGTAGAATAGTGCTGCAGCAGTAACAGACAGTGCTCATTTAAACAACAAAGAACATAGAGTTCATTCATAGTAAAGCTGTCTTCTTTCAAGCTTGTATTCTAAAGCGACTTTCTGTTGGCCCCATCTCAGTTTCCCCCTGATGGAAGGAAACTGATTCCACGTTCGGTGTTTGAGGCTTGAATAGGCGGCCTTTTAAAATCACAGACCTCAGGACACCTTAGAGGCGCACTTTGGCCATTATCTGTGGCAGCTGGGTGGACACATGGAAAGTAGGAGGTGGAGAAACATTAAACGGCTGTGTGACAGCATTGTTGTGTTTATGAAAGATTCTCTGATAAGGATAGCCCTGCTACTGCGCTGAAGTGATTTTCAAGGAAGGTTTTTTTTTGTCACTTTTATGTTTTGGATTTAACACCTCAGTGGAAAAGTGCTGCATGGCTCCTCCTGCTCCATTAAGAACATGTGTTTGGTGGGGAAGGTAAGCTAAGCAGATTTAATTTACTGAGCTGTGGAGGGAGAGATTGCAGCGATATATTGCAGGCTGTGTGTACATTGCTCTGATGCAGCATTTCCTATCAGTTAAGTAGTTTGCTTTGTGGAGAGTTTAGCATTTTACTCAAACACCTGTGCGGACTCCGTGACAGAAAGTTTTTAAGTTTTTTTCCGAATAGCGTAACTCTGTGACAACATTGGTAAATCACATTCTCTTATTTTTCTGCTCTGTCACAGTGTTTCTTGTTTGCATCTTGTAAATGTAAAAAAGAATATGTTTAAAAGCATTCATTTTCAATCAGTGAAAAGATTGGGGTCTAATTATTAATTAGAAGTCACAATGATGCATGTTGGGGAGTACATGTGTATATATATCATGTTGACTAGTTACAATGTTTGTGTAGCAAGATTAATGACATTGGCTTTTTGGCCAATGTTGAAACCAAGTATTAAAATGTTCAGACAGCTGACATAGTTCTTACAACTGCACCCTACTGTACAAAACATTACATATAATATTATTTGTAGAGTCAAATTTGTAGAATCAAATTTGTAGGATAGGAACAATAAATCAAGGATTATCTAAATGACATTAAACTGTTTGTATTTTTCACATGATGGAAAATTTGGAAAGTTTACTATTTGAAGTCTGCCATTGAAGTATTATCCTTGTAAAAAAAAGGAACTCGTTCAAACGCTGCTATATTTTCCTGAGTGCTTGACCTTAGTGTCCCAATGTGATTGTTTGTAGGTACTGGTGCACTCAACTTATCTTTTTTCTGCTTCATCCCAAGAGCTGTGCAGTGATTTGAAACAATAAATAAAATCCACCAGAGTTATTGGTTTAAGTTTACACGGATCAGTCACCCATGAACAGTTGACTGCTTCAAAGCAGTTCCAGTCTGTGTGGACGCACCCGTGTCTCTCGCTGGCTGACGCGAGCGATAATGAAAGTGTGCTCTCTGCCGTGCTCAGGAGTATGCGTAAACACGGCGTCAAATAAAATCCTCTCTCACCTCTGACTGTCGTCGCCGTCCTGAAAGCGAGCCGTCCGGAGGAGTTCCCCCTTGCTGCCGTGGGTATTCTCACGCCAGTGCGGCTAGAGCTGTGGTGATAACCGCGGGGTGACACATGATCAGCAGAGTGGACAGTGTCCAGGCCCCGCCTCAGCTGGCCTCGGTGGGAAAGCAGCGGGCGTAGGTGTATAAACAAAGAGTCGAGGCCTCTAAATCGCAACCCAATGGGTTGCTAGAAGCAGACTTTTTTAGTGCCTCCACCGGGGGCATTCTTTCCATGGTGTATCAGAGTACACGGTTTGCTATCTGAATTCTATTTGCCTACAACTATGTTGACCTAGTTCAAATCTCCTGTGGGTTATGTCACCAATATACAGTTTCCTCTCGGCCACCTGACCATGAAGAGAGCGCATGCCTCACTGTCGGGTCACTGACACCAGCAAGGTTAGTTTCCTGACAAACATCTGTTCTTCTCAGGACAGAGAAGAATGGTTATGTCCCTTTGTGGGGGTTCCAGAAGGTGTACAGTTTTGGATCTTGGACATAAGGAAAAACAGTTTTATTTACAAAAAATACAACACTAGCATGTACATAAGTATGTAAGTGCTTATTGTGCAGATGCATGCAAGAAAAGTGATTTTAATTACATCTGTTGTGGTAGATTATTTCCCATGTATTTCATATAGTACTTTTTTACAAATAAAGTGGTATTTTTCCCAACAATAAAGAATAATTTAGAGGAATACAGAAAATAGCTAGCTAGCTCCATTATATATCATTAGATCACCCCACAACAACATTTTCAGAGTGGTTTCCCATGTATCAAACAACCACATTCATCCTGCTTGGAAAGTTCAGAATTATTGTTCATAGTGTTTCTTCATGTTAAAATGTTAAAATATTACATGTCTTTTACTTCAGTTGAAGTTGTCTGCTGTAGTTCACATATTTCCCTGCCAACACCCTAACCTGCATGTGAAATGTAGCTTTATAGTTTAAGTGGCTTGCCCTAAGGCAAATGACCTAGCTGTCAATCAAATTACCTACTGACTCAAAGTTTGGATCTGTGATTCCTTCCATCACGGTTGTAATTTGTAGTAGGGAATCTTACCGCTGCTGGACTTACAGTAAACTACCGCATATGCTGCATTTACACACCGTAAGTTCCAGGTCTGGAGGTGCCTCCACATTCCTGTAAGGAGTGCCTAATTGACCATCATTGCTTCTTGTCAGATACCCAATACCTTCACCAGAGTAGGTTTCAGGA